AACTGTGCACAGTATTGGTCTCCGTTTCCTGCGTGAAGTTAAGGTTGAATAACGCGGTGCTTCTTAAAAAAGAAAAATGTGCCCCGCTCACAGCAACTGTTCAGCAACCCACAGGAGTGCCTCGCACACTCGAGGGACACGGCCAGTATGGACGGACAATGTGGAGCCAACCATTTCGGGCAGCGCCCAGTGTGCACAGCCCAGGAAAGGGGTCCTCTCTCCCAGTCCAATGGACATGCCTACACAGCTCTATTTTTAAAAATCAAATGTTTTATGAACTCCTATTTCCCCACAGAATTATATTATTAAAAACCTTTGTTTTCATGCATGACTTATCTTTGACTAGCTGTGAGTCCTCACGTTTGATCATCTCTATCTAGCCTTCTGGCCAGGTACCTATTGAATTATAAATTAATGTTGCAAACCTACAGAAAGAAACACTGAGGTAGTGTTTAAAGGATAAAGAATTATGTCTTGTAAGAAAGAATCCTGAAAACGAGCTGCTATGAAATCCTAAGTGAACAGAATTTGGAAAAGACACAAACACAACTCAGACAAAAAAAAAATGTGTTCTTCATAGTGAGTTTCCAGTGCAGCACTAACAGTATTTACTTACTCAACAAACTCCGAAGGACTGGAATTGTCTGCCCCTTTAATGAGATCCCATCTTTTATTCCCTGGATTTTCTTAAACAACACGTCTCTAAGTTGCAGAGACGTGGCCTTTCAGAAAGGCCACGCGAAAGAGATGATCTGAGAGGATGGGGGACAATTTCCAACCCGAACACGTCCAAAATGGATCGATCCATTCCAGCACTGGTGGCTCACGTTTCACCCTATTCCAGTTTTGTCTGCCTCAGACGAAGCCTAGTGTCTTCCTAGGGAGACGCAAAGGTGAAAGCAACAGTTTAGGTTGCCTCTGAGGTCAACACATGTCCTTGGAGCCACAGTGCCTGTCACGGACGTACTTACGTACTTGCAGTTCTTCCTGCCCTCCCCACCCCTGCCACGGCTTCCCTGTGGGTGAGGCACACATCCAGAGCCCACTGACTTTGGGCTCAGCCGTGTGACTTGCTCTGACCCGAGGAATACAGGCAGAAGAGAGGCGCTGAAGCTTTCGGGGGTTCTGAGTGTTCCCCATCACCCCCGTCTCTGACGATCACCCTCAAGAAGAGCACAGCCCAGGCAGCCACGGCTCCTCCAGGGCGGGGCCCCACAGTGAGAGACACCCCATGGCCTAAGTGACTCTGCTCACCCTACAGACTCATGGGTGAGAAATAAAGATCTGCACGTGGGCCGTTGTCAGAGTGAAGGTCAACATGGTGGCCGACCACGAAAGGGCTCTGAGATTATGGGTATTTTCCAGTACCACTCACTCTGTTCCAGATTGAAATGGCCAGGCCCGTTCTCCAAAACGGGGTGCAGAACCAAGCCAGTTCTCATTTCTGGATGTCCTTGCCAACATCCGTCTGACAGCCTGATATCTCCTATATCTGAACACACACCCGTCATCCTGGCTTACTAATTTTTGAACCTCCTCTGCCAATGTCAAAGCACCCTGAAGACAGACCTGTATCTGACCTGCCCTGTGGCACCTAAAACAGTGTGTTGCACCTATTAGCCACTTGACAATGACTCCCTATTCCAGTTCACAGTTACCAGTGCTTTTGTTTATTGGCCATGCCCCAAAATGACCTGAGTTACAGAAATGTTCATATAGTTGAACTGAGAGCAATGACTCGATATGACCTTTCCACCTGAATACACAGGTGAGCTCGAGTACTTTGCAATGAGCAATGCTTAGGACTGCTCACCTACACCAGCGTGAACTCCTTCTGCAGGGCCCACCACTTTCACAGCGCGTACCCAGACGGAGAACAGATGGGGCTGGCCCATCTCCAGCTGTCCACACAAACGTGCCTCACACACGTGTCACCAGCCTGGGCGCAAGTCTGAGTGAGGGCCTGCCAAAGGCCCGTCCACCCCCCTCACCAGAGCACTTTTCTGCCCTGAGCCTCTTCCCCACTGGTCCCCGGCTCCTGTCTCCCTGCTCACTGCCCCAGCTGTCTAATTTTCTCCATCACCCTCCATCACCCAACTCGTCTCTGTTCTTTTCTTTTCCTCCTCTTCTCTATTTTTTCCTTGCCTCTGGCTTCTCTGCCTTTCTTTCACACTTTTAAACCTTGGTAAAGGTGACATCACCAGACACGCAGAGTATGCCTTCCCCGCACACCAGCTCGACCACCTGCCACACACCAGAGATGAGTACCAGGCCTCCGAGTGAACAGAAGTAGGTGTGATTCCCCACAGGTGCTCAGGGACTTCCAGAGTCCTCCGCATGCCCTGCCTGCAATTTTAGTCTTTGCATCATTAGGTATATGTGAAGACAGGGGTGTTTCCCAACACTTGCCCAAAATTCAGCTGAACCCCAGGGCTGAACACAATCTATTCATAGAAGCCGTGCAGTGGGAAAGATGTCCTCAAACATGCTGACTCCCATAATAACCGTATCTCATTTCTGCAATCTCTACTCTGGTTTTAAGAAAGACTTAACGACATCTAATAAAAGTGTATATAAATTTTCTGTTATACTTAGAAGCAGTCTAAACTTCCTAAAGTACAGTCACATCTGTCCTTTCTCCCCAGCATATCCTTTCCCCTTTTATTCTGAAAATGGCCCCACCCCCTTGTGTTGAGAACTGTCACTCCTGTGTCACCCCGAAAGCCCATGGAACAGTGGGATGCAAACGTGCGCTGTCACTTTCTCACTCAGCCCAGCCACAGGCAGCAGCGTGCACCTGTCCCAAGCTGGCCAAACCTTGTGCACGGGCCAGGGCGTGTGTCCCAAGCTGACTCACTCGCAGTCCTTCCCTGAGACTCTTCCAAGTGAATCAAGGATGAGACCAGAGCTCCCCCTCAAGCGGTGACGACATCAGCTACGTTGAAGCTGCGAGCTGCCAGCAGCCATGTGCCCTCCGTGGTGAGGAAAGCTGGTCTGCAAGACCGAAGCCAAGATGCAGGCGGTGGAAACAGAGAGGCCGGGCCCCCTGGCAGCACCCAAGGCCCCGGTCCTCTGTCCTCGATGTCGCGCCCTCCTGCCTTCCTCGTGGGTGGGCACAGCCTTCCCATTAACTCCCCTGTGCATCTGCGTCAATGCAACCTGCTTCTCTGTACCCGGCGGCCAAGAAAATTCCACATAACAGCACACACACTACAAGGTAACGACTCTGAATTCTTGGGAGTAAGGTCTGAGAATACCATAAGGAACTCTAAAGTCTCTGCCAAAAACTTAATATTAATCCACAGACGAACACTTAAGAATGACACTACCCAACACTTTCTTTATAAGACAATTGACTTCTTATCTTTTTTAGTGAGTGTAGTAAAATTCCTCTTAACAGAAGCCATGAATATAGGTATTCCATGGGTAGAGGAACGGGATTCTCTGATTGCCACGTGACTCCCTGAAATATCAGACCCAAAGTCAGGAGGTGTCACATTCTGAAAGAATCCATCTCAGGAGAGTGATGGTTGTGTAGCAAAGCAACACTAATGAAACTGGAGAAAATATTATCAATGTGGTTATTTGTTACCAAGAGTCACATCCTTATGGGTGGATTCAGTGGGAACCAAGGAACCCAAACTGGACTCGGGTAGGGGCAGACAAGGCAGTTTTCATCTCACACAAAGGTTTTGTTTCAAAATCTCAACCAAGAAAGTCTGGCCTTCCTTAAGGATTGTGTCTAAAATGAGGTTGCCAGGAATTGAAATCTGAAGAGACAGGAAATGTAAAACCCAATCTGTGTCACACGCATTAAACTGGGGAACGAAGCCTCGTGCCTGTGAGTCCCTCTCCGTCTGTGACCCCCAGTGAAAGAGCTTTGCTCTCAGAGTAAGTGACCAGTTTGCTTGGGGCTGGTGACCGCTATGGAGGGAACCAGAAAGATGAGGGCTGGGCTCGGAGTCCCCTGGCCAGAGAAAAGCCCCAGGTGCCCTCCAATGACAGGCGCAGAGTCAACGCTCAGACAACCCCCCTTGAGATCCTCTGCTTCACCCCATAAGTACCCCTCTCTGGACCTCACTGAGTGCCCACACTCAGAAACAGAGCTGATCTTCAATATGGTAAATACAACGAAAAGCAAATGCATTCTAATTGCTCAAAGCTGATGTCTAGGCCCCTAACGAGTTTTAACTCACACACACACACACACACACACACACACACACCCCAAAGCTGGTTATTCTCTGTATGACCACAAGTCCTTAGAAGTGCGTGTAGTCATTTTACTTATTTCTTCTACACAGCTATTTAGCATCGGACATGAACTTAAAACATGCCAGTAATGGAAGAAAACAAACCATATCACAACATGCAAATTCTCCTTAATTGCATAAACATACTTAAATAGCTCAGTTTTAGACATCTACTTTAGAACAATAACGTTTTCTCTAAGTTATTCCAGAGGACTATTTGCATATAACTTTTGGAAATCCCCCCTCCAAACCTCTTCACTTAAACTTTTCAGTCAGCAACATGCTTACGGAACACACTAGACCATCTGGGGCCAGTGCTCTGGACTTTTCTACCTGCTGGACACATATCTGACCCAAACCCACCCTGTATCTTCCCTAATAATTTGGTCTTTAAGACTATATTTACATATGGAATCAAATGGGATTAATTAAAGTATCTTAAAATCCCAAGCCATATCCACAGCCTATGGTATCATTTAGTAAAATGTCCTCAAATCTTCACTTACCATTCCTTTGAAAATACTAGAGAGACAGAGAACAACCTGGTCATTATTTTTATCTGCCTCCCCTCTGATGATCACTATACCAAAAGGCTTTATAAAGAAAGTTCTTAAAGTTAAATTAGAGTTCAAGATCTTTTTAAAACCTTTCCATTCCCAGCCCAGAACTGGGCTGACAAAGCTCATCTCTAGTGCTTGAGAATTAATGAAGTGTATGCAGCAAAAATGAAGTCATATGAATTGTCACCTGCATCGATGCTCCCTCCACTCTTGCCACGCAGGCGACCCGATCGAGGAAGGTCACTGCCACAGGCACTGCCACAAAAAAGCCTTTACAAAAGGCCTTGACGTATCTTTTCACCCAGCCTTGAGACTGTGCCATACCTGCAAACAAAAAGAAAACAAGTATAAAATGGAGTCTTAAAACAGATATAAAAAATGGGGGAAAATAAAGATGCAAAAAGCAGCACAAGAAAAACTGAGTTCAGGAAGAGCAACCTCATCCCTGTAACCTTTGGAATAAATTAGATTTGAAATCCCAAAGGCAAATGCATTCACTCTGGTTAACTATTCTTGGTAGCTCCAGTCCACTTGATAACTTTAGTAGAAAATTTCCCCTTACAAATAGTAAGGTAGAAAAATAGTAAGAATTATAATGGATATGCTTCTCATACCCTCAGACCTATTCTCTTCCACAGTAACAGAATTTTCAACAAGGTACTTCAATGGCTGCCCAGCCTCCCTTGCAGCTAAGTGTGATCATGTAACTAGGTGTGATGAATGAGAGATGAGCAGAAATGACATACTCCCACACCGTGTCCTTAAAAGGAATATGTCCTCCCTTTTCTGTGGCTCATTTTCTGACACCTGTGATGATGAGGCAGTGACAGGAGTAGGGGTGGCCATTTAAAGTTAACAATGGCAGAGCAACAGAAGGGTCCCAGGTCCCCACCACCATGGAGGCAGTTAAATGAGAGATAAATCACTCTCCATCATTTAAAAACTCTAAACTCTACTTCCTATTTTCTATATAAACTTATATACACATATAAAAGTATATAAAACAGAGTATCATTTTTATTATTGTTTTAATCATTTAACAAATACCTATATATCAGTTGTATAATTAAAGTATAAAGAAAGACTGAAAAAAAACAGTTTTATCAAAATGCTAAGAATGGGTAATTCCAGATGTTGGGAATGTAGAGGATGACTATTTTCTTCTTTGCACTTCTGTTGGTTTCTGACCTTGAAAAAAGAAGGACCATCCTAAGAAGTCACACTGGTGGGTAGCTAACTGTGGGGTAATCCCAGTCCGGGTCTCTCTCCCATCACAACGAACAAGCCACACGTGCTCAGGCCAGGCTCCCTGCCACGCGATGCAAAGCACAACCACTGGGTAAGGCTTTCCCCTTAGTGCAGCAATCAACACGTGCCACTGAGCGAGCGCACGTGCTGTGTGCGGCCTACGCAGGCTATGACAGAACAGTGCCTCGGTGTGCTTCTGACAGCATCTTGAGTGTTTGAACTTAGAAATTCTTACTTTTCTACCATCCATAGTAAGCACTGTATTTCAAACGGGAGGGAAACGCTGACAGTTCATATTATAACTCACCTGATGACTTGCCTATTTTAGGTAGTTAGGTAGTTAACAAACTGGTTTTAAACACACTGTATTTTAATAATCAGACCAAATAGGCTTAGGCACCTGGAGGAATTAGACTAAAAAAATTAAATGGATGGGACAAATGCAAACTGAAAAACATGCTTCTATGCATCTGTGGTTCTTAGAATAAAAGGAGCCAACATGTGACAGAATGAAGAGATTGTGTGTCCTCTTTACTGTCCCTTGTGCCCTGCATGTGTGGACCTTTGCTAAGCAACTAGGGACACCTGCAGGATAAACACTAAGAAAGCCTTCAAATAGGATAAGACCACAGCTCAGCTACCCATCAGGAGTAGCACACACAACTACAGTATCAATTAAAGGAAAAGAGACATTAACATAAGTTGCATAAGATTCTGAAAAATTTGAGCCTTCCCTTCTTTCCAATATACACTCTCCTCCATGCTGCTACCCCATCCAGTGACTATGACAGCCAGGACAGAGCATAGCAATGACAGTTGGGGCTCCCAAGGTGGCCTAGACCCAGCTGCCTAACTGATCGGCTCATTTCTGGGCCTCAGTTTCCTCAGCTGTAAAAAGAAAGGCCCTTCAATGTTTAAGGTCCTTGCTGTGCCCAGCGTTCTGTGTCTATGAATTTAGCAACAGTTCATGCAGGATTTATGCAGACACCAAAACAAAGAAAAGTACTCATACTAAGAAGAGAGACAGAGCTGCCCTTTAGGGTTGAGACTTTAGGTGTCAAAGAGAGAAAAGACTCGGCCTTAATTAAACAAAGACGCTGGATCCAGCCCAGGTCACACACAAGTACACCTGAAGTACTGGAAAAGAGCTGGGAGCCACGGCCCATTCACCTCTCACCTTCACGTCCCACAGCGGCCACCTCCCCCACCCCAGACTCAGGATGAGTGCTTGTCCGCCAAGACAGCCTCGAAGAGCACAGGGCAGGTGTGCCGGTGTGAAGGCACGAGGGTGCTGCCCCCAACAAAGGATCAGAGGAAAGCTTCCTTGCAAACAGGTGGTCACTCAGAAGTCTCAGTCCAGTCCTGTCCTACCTGAGCTGTAAAGAACCCCTGTCCCTCATAATTATAAAACACTTTTAAAAGCTCCTAACTACCCCCCAAATACTCAAGAAAACCAACATAAATGAAGACATGAACATCATACTTCCGGGTCAAGGTATAAATACGGCATGCCCATTGTGATAATGTTAATGTGTTTCCTTTCCTGTATAAATTGCCCAAGAATTATTGGGGTGGTCTGGTCTTTTCTTCACATCTTAAATCTTGAAAGCTACCATGCTAATAAGCACCTAGCATCCGATTCCTCTGAGAAAATTTCCTTTAAGCAATTACCCTGTGGTACCAACATCATCCCTGGCAAAAGGAAATAATTTCTATTGGTAACCTCATTCTTCTAGAAACCCTGCAAGTCACTTGAGGTTCAAAACATTGCTCCTGAGAAAATTACTGCTTAAGTAGGAGGCACACCTAGTTCATTGAAGTTGTTGAAGTTCTTCAACTGAGAATACTCTGAAATAAGCTTTCGGATTTGGCTACTTGCCACTTGGCATATCGCACCTGGACATGAAGGTTTCTCGGAGCCACCAGCCTCTGCCACACGCTGACCTGCCCTAGAAAGAACATGCCCCTGGCCTGTCCCGACTGCTTAGGGTTCCATCATGCAGGAGCTTATCGAAAACTAGCCATAAACTCGCTTACATTTTATCCCGCATCAAAGCATAATCCCTAGCAGCCAGGCCGATAAATTCTCCTCAAGTCATCTGAATTCTTATCAAAACAATTAAAAAACTGGGTGGGAAGTTTGAAGAGGAAAATAAATTACAAGGCAATATCTTTTATAACATGTGAAGCCTTCCAATCACACAAGCTTACACGATTGGATAACTAAATCGAGACTTTATTTATTCACTCAAACTAGATACCCAACTACGAACACCAGAGAACATAAGAACAGGGATCACAGCAAATCTGACCCAGTGCCTGACTCCGCCTTCCTGACCGCCTACCCCGTGTCTGGGCACTGAGGCAGCGCTCATGAGGCGGCGGAGCCCGGCAGGTGCGGTCCCTGGCCACGTGGAGCTGACACTTTCATCCAGTCTGCGTGACGTGCCTGCTCTGTGCTAGATGCCACGCTGAGATCAACCACACCACAGTCCCCTCCCCCAGAGGGACTTGTAAAAAGATCACGAGCAAGGGGCATGTGACCACTCGTGATCAGGTGGATCTTGCCAGGAGCTCCCGGGACCAACAGCCTCGCTCTGCAAGCAGAGCCTCAGCACATGCGGACTCTGCAGGCACCTGGAGACGTCTGGACTAACTCGAGGGGAAAATAACCAATGAAATGGAACGGTTTCAATTCCACCAGAAGCAGGTGTGGGAAAGCCATCTATGGGAGCCAACTCAAAAAAAGCTTTTCAGGGCCACCTTGCTCCTGCCACATTACAAATAGATAATACCACCCAGGTGGGGTCAAGTTCAAGGAGTTCATCATCACCAAGCCCTTGTAATATGAAATGTTAAAGGGACTTATCTAAGAAAAAGAAGAAATCAAAACTATGAACAGTAAAATGATAAGCTTATAGCTATCAACATCTGAACATAAAAGACAAAAGCAAACTATGCAAACAACTAGAACAGGAATAGAATCACAGAAGTGGAGATCACATGGAGGGTTATCAGCAGGGAGGGGAAGGGGAAAATGGAGGAAAAGGTACAGGGAATAGAAGCATAAATGGTAAGTACACAATAGACAGGGGGAGGCTAAGAATAGTCTGGGAAATGAAGAAGTCAGAGAACTTATATGTACAACCCACAGATATGAACTAAGCGGGGGGGAACGATGGTGGGAGTGGGGTATAGGATGCAGGGAGGTAACGGGGAGAAAAAAATGGAACCACTGCAATAGCATAATCAGTAAAATATACTTTAAAAAACAGACAACTGATCATCTTTATGATGTGAATGCCAACAACAAATTCTTTATCTTTGAACATGTCTGCCTTAGCAGTTCTCACTTGAAAATCCTCAGAAAGGACAAAATGCACAGAAAAAAAAATAAAGAAGAAAAACTAGCCAGAAAACGATAAAGGGGAGAAATGTGATGAGGTCAGACCTAAAGTGCATCGTGTCTGGCAAAGACACCCAGTACAAAGTCAATACCGGCCGTCTGATGAAGATAAGGGGCCCCCATCGTGACCTAAAAACTGCCTCTCTGACACAGATAACTGTAACTTTGTATCGGTGAACTGACAAGCATCTGGATACAGAGAGGAGAGGTTAAAAAGCAAATGAACCCCAAGGACGTGTTCTATGACAACTGAGACAGGGAGAAAGCAAGTAGGATCTGCAAATCCATACAGGCTTCCTGAGGTTTTGGTCAGGGCTCCTTGCAGTCATCGAGGTCATGCATTCATGGCCACCCCCACCCCACCCCAGCCTCAGTGGAAGAGGAGCCCCCGCCTGTCTGAGGCGGTGCTCTACAGATGCGGTGTCGCTCACAGGGAGGGCCCTGCAGGGCAGGCTGGTGGGCCGTGGTTCACATCGCGATCCAGTCACGTCACTGTGAACACACTGCTTCATCTTGCTGAACCCCAGTTTTTTGAAGAATGTTTATGAGTTTATTTGGCCAGGGAGCAGATCTTAAATGTCCCCAAGCCACCATTTTCCCATCTGAGAATCCTTGCAGGGTGTTTTGGAGGCTCAAAATGTCCACAGGTATTTTTTTTTAAGGAATAAAA